TGTGTGTGTGTGTGTGTGTGTGTCTGTCTGTCTGTCTGTCTGTCTGTCTGTCTGTCTGTCTGTGTGTACCTCTACAGTCTCCTGCAAAGCCATGGCAGTTTGTTCTTTTTCCTGCAGGATTATTCTGTATCTTCGGTCCATGTCTGTGTAGGACTGTACTGTGTGCTGCGGGTTACTTAAGAAGAAAATAAAAGCAATCACATATTATTTCTATTAAACATAAACACAGCTATAGGTTAATTTAATTCAAATTAAAAGCAAGATGTTGTCATACCCGTTTCTTTGTCTTCTGTCATCATCTTTTTTTATTTCCTCTTCTCTCAGCTGAGCCACTTCAGTCTGACGAATTTCTAAATACATCAAAACAAGAGTGTATCATTTCTCAGAATATAATATGACTGAAAACTCATCAGTTACTGGAAACCTGCAGGGTTTTGTCCAGTAATAACATGGACACTACTGGGCTGAAGGGAGGAGAATAGGAGGCAGATATGTGATGAAGACCACAAGAAAAGTGGAGACCTGGGAAAGTAAAATGATAAGATACAGAAAGAGAAAAATAAGGAGGCCTTTCGGTTGAGCAGTGCTGAGCTCGGGCCAGCGATAAAGGCCATCTGGCGATGTTAGAAGCTGATATGAGGACCTGAGCTGTGCAGCTGATAGTGGATGAGGTGGATGGGCGGAGGAGGAAAGAGCAGAGGGAGGAGGCGCTGGCCTGGGGTCAGCTCTACAGGGTTGTTCCAGGGACAGATTAGGTGTGGGAAACGGAAGAGGTACCCGTCATGGATTCACTCCCTAAAGGTCGTGGCATTCTCTAATCAGTCCTCTCTGATGTTGTTAAAGGTATGTTTGTGTCTGTGTGTGGTCACGGCTATCTCTGATTATCATTTACTGAGAGTGGTTGGCAGGGCACAGACCTCGGACATATCAGGACAGACAAGAGAAGACAGGAAGCAGACAGCATCATGGAAGAACATTACTTCTCTGACACAAAAAGAAATCACGTCAGTGTTTCTTGAATATGCTGATTTTGTGTTTGTCAGATGACCAGTAGATACAGTAGTTTAAAACTGTCTAAATTTATACCCACTTCCCTCCCTGTGCTAAAAATAAAGACAAAATTTGGAGTCTGCAGCTTCAATCAGGATAAGAGACTGTCTGTGTCGGCTAATACGCTCCACAAATGGATATATCACGCGCAAGGTCAAAACACAGTCATCATATTTTTTAAGTTAATTCAGCTCATTTTATTGATTTACAATGTTTTTTTAAATGATTAATTATAATCATTGTAATCACTGTTGTATGTATGTGATGTACATGCCTGGTGCCATATATGACACTAGATGTCAGTTAATCAGAATATTTTTAACATTGCTGATTTGTCGATTGTGTTTTTGGATTAAAATAAGAAATGTTTTGTGTAAAAGCACAAACATAATAGCCACTCTACCTGCAGGAGGTTTCTCGTGGTACCTGGTGTCAAAATATTCCAAATCCTGATTTCAAAAGAAACAGTTAGTTCAAAATGTGGTTATTTTTCTAGCTTTGTATAAATACTTTGCTCACATACACAGAGGGATGCTTTGTGAATACCATGGAAGAAGTAGTAATTCATATTTTGTAATTAGCATTCAAACGAACAAACAAAAAGTGACTCATAGTATGTATGTCTCGGAGGAAATGTATAAACATACAGTGCACAGCAGTATGTTGTCTGCAGTCTGCTCCAGTTTCTTGTCTATCTTCTCCCTCAGGGCGCTCAGCACAGGCTCTATCACTCCTGCAGTGCTCAGTGCAATCCTCTTCACTGTTTCTTCAGGCAAATGAAAGTTCAGCTTGGAAAACACCTTCCTATCCACAGACGAATAAAACCACCACAGATGGTTGTAATTTAAAAGGCTACAATAGGAACAAGAGATCGAATGTGATTTAACTGATGATGAAGGAAGGGTGATGATAAACACCGGAGGGAACGACATGTTTACAGTGAAGTCCCATGAAACCGTAGCTGGACATGTGCCACATCAGCAGAGGGTTTGTGTTGGACTGCAGAAAAACTTTTAGAGCACAATTTCACTTTTTACCCAAAAATATCAAGGAGGTTATGGTTTCACCCCTGGCCTGTTGTTTGATGGGCAACAGGATTATGCAAGTAATACTTTTTCCATGGAACTTGGTGGAAGGTTGAGACTTTTTTTTTTACATTTTCATCAATTTCCCAGAGAAGAATATATTAATCTTGATGGAAAAAAAATCTGGCAAATTTAAAGGACTGATAACTATGAGTGTGGGAAATTTGGGTCAAAATAAAAATTCACATCTAATTCATTTAAGTGGTTCACTTTGGGGGACTGCTGGGCCCTGCCACACAGGTGTCTTTGTGGTGTGACATTCACTTATAGCACTTCCCAACGCTTTGCCAAATCATCCACCTATTTAAGTGGTACACAGAGATTGGTTAACACTCTATGATGTACATACTATATTTGTGTTTCTTCAATGCTCAGGTATTATAACATCTCCACTGACAGAGTATTTAGACCTCTGGGATATAATCTCAGGCATATTTTACTGATTTGTCATCCATTAGCCTGACTCTGTAGCCGAGTTCAACCTAACTCCTCCAACTCGTGCAAATCACAAAATATGACCACATCACACCCGTTCCTGCCTCATTGAACTGGTTACCTTGTGGTTTTCAGAGTTTGTTTTAATTGATTTTAATTTTTTAAATGACTGAATGGCCTTGGACTGCCTCACTTAGCAAACCTCTTCCCTTGCACCCCTGCTCATAATCGTTGATCTGCTAACCAGCTGTTTCTCTCAGTACCCAGTCAGGGCTGGAGACAGATGGAGGTAGAGTATTCACTGTTAGAGCTGCACTGCTATAAAACTACACCTCACTTTGTTGATCAGACAAACTATCTCAGGGTCCTCTTTTAAAAATGCATTTTTATAATTTGATAGTTTGTGGTTTGTTTTATAGATTTAGTTTGAATTTGTTTTGTTGTCTGCAGATATTTTCTGTCTGCAAAGCACTTAACCTAAAGTATTGAAAAGTACCATATAAACTAAGTTTATGATTATTATTACGGTTGTATTTATAGATGGAAAACCCCTTCATTTTACATTTATCACATCTTTACACTGGTAATAAATGATGACTGGAGGGATCATAATAAGTCACAATCACCACAGGCAGTCTGGATAAACAAAGCAGATGTTTCTTGCCTGTTGAGTTGGCTCCAGTTACTGAGCTTCTGTGGTGTGGAGTTAGCAGGAACATAATTGTGAAGGTCAACAAGCTTTGGGAAGAAATATTTCACAACCTCAGCAGCCATCACTGCAGAAGAGGAGGAGGAGGAGGAGGAGGAGGAGAAGGAGGAGAGGCAGGTCACAAGTTAATGCAGAAACAAGAAGAACTTGAGAGGAGCAGCTGGAGATGGTTCGTGACCCATTAATGCGAGCTGCTCCTCCACGGGCTGCTAACCAAGCGAACTCTTTACCTCCGTCGCTGAAGTCTCTTGTGATGTGTCTCTTCGGTCGGGACAGCGATATTTTATCTATCCACGCGTACAAGTCCTGAAGCTCCTCTTCGTTCAGCTCTCGACTCATTTCCGTCGGGTTTCCCTGCCTGTTTGTAAAGATGCGAACTGTTCTCACCGAGCTAGCTTTGTTAGCTTCGCAGGTTGTTAGAGGCGTTGCCGGGGCGACCGCTGAAGTGCTATGGCAACGTAAATAATGGCGAGAGGAGGAGAGAGAGAACCGAGTCAGACCGACTGTGCTGAGTCACCTTTATTAGCAAAAGAATAAAGAACTGATTTGATCAAAATCATCAAAAGAAATAAATAGAAACATACACAAACAGGTTTTCAGTTCAAAGCATGGTTCAAAGTTTGCAGGGAGAAAAAAAACTGAGAAAATAAGGCAGAAATCCTCAGTGTGTGTAAAAGAGCAGTCATCGGCATCCATGAGTGAAAGAGTGCAATCATGTCTGCTGCATAGAAAATACAAATATACAAAATCCCTTGAAGAATTACAATCAATACGCATCAAGTCAAAGCACCAAGCAAAACAGCTCCAGGTAATAATTTAGTCCGACAGTCAAGCACACGTGTGTTAGTACAAAAAGAGTTGCGGTACATCCGTAAAGTGCCCATGTTGGTGCCACATTTCAAAATCCCTTAACTTTATTTCTTAGAAAATCAGTACCAAAAAAAACATGTGAGGGACATGTAACAGTTAATCAGTTAAATTAGATTGAAACAAATTGCCTCATTAAGTGTTCACATGTACCAGGATCAAGGCAGAGTGACCATTTCCCTTAAGATTTGTTTAAAAATCATCATGGCAGCGTAGCCATTTGTCAGTTTTAAAGCACAGAAGCTTGTCAATCGTGGCTTCGGATTTCCATTAACAAGCTGAAGGCCAACACAAGCAAGACACAGACGGGGCGGCTGTAATCCTCAGGGGAGACCGCAACAGAGGGAAAAAGCTCTGTCACTTAACATTGCTGATCCTTCAGTGGATCTTGTTTCCATTGTCAAACAGACAAGCGTCTCCTGAGAGGATCTTCTGGGTCCGGCTAGGTGGGACAAAAACTCCAGGCCTCTGTCAGAGGATCCCAGTGTTTACACCGTGCTGGATTATGTGTCATCTGGGCCTGCTGGGGGGCATCAGAGCAGCTCTCCCTGCGAGCTAGAAAAACAAACACACTGTTGATGAGTCTCTCTCAGAACAACTGCAATTTTCTTCCTCCAAACCCCATCTTATGTGTAAGCTATTATTTCAGCACATCTGTGTTTAAGCTGTCTGTTAGACGTTTATGTGCTTACTAACAGTGAGCCACTGCTGGTTCATTACACAGCTATGTTGGGACAATGCCTGAAACCACAGACGTCTCCAGAAACGTGAATACCTCGAATAACACTGAGGATGTTTGGATGCAGAGGATTTTGGGGGAAGTTGCGGCTGACGGACTGCGTGTCTGCATACGTACCAGCTGAGTGTGAGGCAGCGGAGACAGGACGGAGGACGGCTTCGGCTTCACTGGAGGCATCGGAGGCTTTGGCTTGGTGATCTTAAGAAACCAGATTTTCACGGTTTAAGAGGCTGTAGCAATGTATTAATGCAAATATATATGGGTGGGTTAAGTTAGTTGTCAAGTACCGATTTTGTTGCAAGTGGCGGCAGAGGTCTGGATGGAGGCGGTGGTGGCTTAACCTGATAAAATAGATAATAAATACATAGTTTAACAAAACAAACCTGGAACCTGGTGTCCTGGGAGAGGAAACAAGATCAACTCTGTACCAGTTTTACCTCAGTACAGTTCGGCTTGGTTGAAGCAGACAGTGGCTGCATGGACGGCCTCACAACCTGAAGAAAAAGATTTATCATTTACAGCTAAACAATACAGACTGCAGCAATACAAATCCATTTCATATGTGGATATTGAAATAGTAATTAATTTAAATAATTCCGCTTTGTCAGTAGATGACATTACCTTTTGAAGCTTTGATGGCTGAGGCACAGCTGGAACAGCTTTTGGTGGCTGTAAGGGGCAAAAAGAGAGATGACTAAACTAAAACTAAGAAGTACATGACTCTAAAGTTTCTTAACCACAAACCTTAACAGTTTTTGCAGTTTAATGACAATAACAGTCCGTTTATAATTTAGAACTGTAGAGTCGCACCTCTGGAGCTTATTGGTCATTCATGTGTGACTATGGGAAACTTTCTAAGGCTAAAAAACTTCTCACCATGATGACACGGATACAGATGCCAACTACAGCTGCCACAAATGGAAGTATAGTGTCTAACTCACACATACAATATCGGTGTCAGAGTATCTCTTCTCTACCGTTGGGTCATCTTATAAACTCACCTCTGGAGCTGCTCTGCTGGGCTTCAATGCTCCAGTGTGCGGTCGGGCATTGGCAGAGAACAGAGGTTTGCAGGGCTGAGTGGCTGAAGACTCCACAAACGTAGGTTGGCTGATGAGTGTTTTCCCAAGACGGGGGCTGTCTCGTGTGCTGCTCGACCGAAACACCGGGTTTGACTGTCCGGAGGTAGACTGAAGGCATCTGAAGTGTAATAAACACAGTGGCTGAAATTAAATATGGAAAAGAAAAGAGCTTTGTCTCTATAGCTTCACTTATGCACAGTGGGACAAACTTTACCTCTTTGCAGGTCGTCTTTTTCTGACACAGCACATCAAAATCCCAATGACCAGGACCCCCAGCAGAAGTGCTCCAACCACCAGCAACACAAGAATCACCAACATGCCTGTCTCTGCACACACACACGAAAACACACAAGCACGCCACTGTAACGAATTGTTGTTGGCAAAATTCTGAAATTAATATTCTGTTTTCCATTAAAACGGTACTGTGCTGTAGAGAACAATGCATTCTGGGAAGTATTTATGAGCAGCCTGCTGTTTTCCTTAAGATATTGCAATATACTGTCAGTATCAACGACGGAGAGGTCCTGCAAAAACGGAATGCTACTATATTTCTAGAAGACACATGTGGAACACAGAGTCATGAAGCATACTCTGGACCTTTTTTTAGAGGATCATCCATCTGAATCCTGCATTTTATGAACAAGTCTTCAGGAAGTTGAAATAAACTTTATCTGTCTTGCATCGTTTGCTTACGTCTGCTGTCTTTAAACTGACTCAGACTGATTAGAACTGTTACTTAGCTAGCTTGCAGCACATGTATGTGGTCCTCTGAATTAGCCATGTGGTGACTTGTGAGTACAGCAGAGAAGCTAATTTTTAAATTATTATTTTGTAGGTTAGGCCAAATTCTTATCAGCACTTAAAAGTTATTCTTATTGGCTTTTGTATTGTCAGTTGAGTTACAGCTAGGTGCATTATTGTGGGTTTGTCATCTTCTGTACATTTTTACCACAACCTTAACTCCACTCCAGCATAATTTCTGCAAGTGTTTTACAAGGTTTATCGTTTTATCACATTTTATGAACATACTGGTAACTGTCATGTTCTGTTGTGCATTGCCTCGAATCTCCAACTGTAGTGGACATCTTTGTTTCTATCATCAAAAAAAAGTATTTCAATTGGTGTTGCCTTTTATAAATAAATGTTGGGTTACTCAATTGATCTTGTTTTTTCTAAGTCTCCTCTTTTCTATAGAATGTTAGTTTGCTGTATTTTAGTTATCTTAATCATTCAGTATACCTTGTACAGAATATCAAATCAAAATCGCGAACCAAGGTTTTTGGTTTTCAATTTATAGGAATTGACTGTCATCCATGCTGCTATTACATTACATTGTACTGATTTTGAGATTATGTTCAATTTCCATTTAAAACCATATTGTACAGACTGATGCTAATCGTAAACTACAAATTTAAGAAGATACAGCGCAATAGTGTGTTATAGTATGTGGACATCATTAAACTGTAAATTAAGGTTACAGTGAGAAAATGGTAAATTCCTGGCAACCCTGCTGCCAGCTGTTTACTGTGAAAATAAGAAAGTAAAGCAATGCACTGTAATTCAGTGATTTTTGTGATTACGGTAACGCACTGTCAAGTTGATTACAGCATGAGTTTTGTAAATTAACAGTAAAGAGCAGGCAACCCTGGTGCCAGCAGTTAACTGTTAATTTACATGAGAATTCTTTACAGTGTTCTGACGACCATCTAGTTATTGCTCATGGACGAGCACGTGTCACCTGCTCAGGCAACAAAATTCACTGTAACATCATTACTGCATTTCTACAGACTTAGCGGGGGAATTCCATGAGATCTCTGCTCGTCTGTTTGAGTTCATCAGCACAGAGCTCAATTGTCTGAGTCCATGAGACGTAATAAATCTTAGGGGAAAATGCAACATTAGAGGGACGGTCATGTGTAAAGCATGGCAATTTAAATGGTCAAGGGACTATCGAGGATGATGTGGAGCGTGTACCTTCAGGCAGCTCAGACTGCTGCACGTTGCAGAAAGGTGGGGCCCAGCCGGGGTCGCAGTGACACTTACTCTCGTGGTTGCAGACCTGTCAGAGACCACACTCAGTTATGATGTCACAAATCTACAGTGCTCCAACGTGTTGTGAGGTCAGAACATTTTTTACCCCGCGGTTATTGCATTTGGCCGAGCAGTCATTTGTCCCGTACGCTTTTACGTTTGTGATGTCTTGACACCGCTGATTGTAGCATACCTGAAAAAAAGAAAAGATGCCGTGAGGACACTGTTTACCAATCTGTAGTCCATGGAAGTTTTCCTTAGGGGCAGTTTTCTCACCATGTTGATGCCACACTTGGTGCCCGTAGGTACCATGCCCAGATCTGCAGGGTAGTTATCCTCAAGGTTTATAGTGGCTTCATTGCATATTTCTCCATTTCCGACTTTGTAAAAGGATTTCCTGGATGTTACAGGAAACTCCCACCCACCTCTGCAGAAAAGCGTCCCACAGGATTGATCTCTGTAACAAAAAAACCCCACAAATCGATAAAAAACAAGCCCAACAATACGTGAATATGAGCTATTTGTCTTTTGATTTCCTACCTGCTGGAACATCTCTGGCTAAACAGTGTTTTTCTGCAGTTTCCATGAAGGTAGAAACAAGCATTTGCAGCCACTTCAGCGTCTGAACAGACACATAAAAAGACAAAACAGCTGCAGATGTAACAATCCTGATGTATCAGAATCAAAGCAGATCCACACC